TCCAAGGGGAAGCTGATACAAGGAAAACAAAATGGGTCCTAAGACCGACCCCTGAGGCACACCATATTTAACTGGACAGAACGAGGAGACATAGTTGTTTACAGACACACAAAACTTCCTATTTGACAGGTAGGATGAAAACCATTCTAGGGCAGTACCAGATATCCCCACCCAGTGCCTCAGTCTGTCTAACATGATCTTGTGATCAATGGTGTCAAAAGCAGCGCTAAGGTCCAGGAGTACAAGGACTGAGCACATGCCTTCATCAGCAGACATTAACAGGTCATTGGTGACTTTAAGCAGGGCAGTCTCAGTGCTGTGGTACTTCCTAAAACCAGACTGAAACTTTTCAAATAATTTGTTATTTTCCAGTACAGTGAGCAGCTGTTTGGACACAATTCTTTCTAGAATCTTTGCAATAAAAGGCAGTTTTGAAATTGGTCTAAAATTATGTGGGAGACAGGGATCTAAACCAGGTTTCTTTAAAAGTGGGTTCACGCAAGCCGTTTTAAAATAATCAGGGACACAACCAGTTGATAGGGAGCTGTTAAAAACAGAGATAAAATGGGGCCCAACAGAATCTATTACTTTCAGTAAAAACTTTGTAGGTATTACATCAAGTGGGCTGGAGGACACTCATTTGTGATACTGTTTTTAAACGCTCAGACAAGTCGATGGGATAAAACTGGTTAAAACTCTCTTGTTGCTGGTGAGGAACCTCTGAGTAAGAGGCCGCGGGGGTAATAGAGGCTCTGATTGACACCACCTTATTGGTAAAATAAGATAAAAACAATTCACAGTCATCATTACTTCCAGCTGAGGCACAAGGAGGGATTGGGTTTACCAGATGATCCACAGTCTTAAACAGAAACCTGGGGTTGTGTTTATGTGTAGTAATGAGTTCAGAAAAATAGTGTGTTCTCGCATCCTTAACCATGTAATTGTCGTTAATTAATAAATCCTTCAGACAGAGGTAATGGACTTAGAGACTGGATTTTTTCCATCTGCACTCTGCTTTCCTGCATTCCCTTTTTAGGCTGCGAATGCTGTCATTTATCCAGGGTTGCTTACTAGCTTTAGACGTAGGCCTAACCTTTAGAGGAGCAGTAATATTTAGTGACGACAAGCAGATATGATTGAAGTGATCGACGAGATTGTTGGTGTTGGAATCAGACAGGTGTTGGCTGATATCCTTATCGAGTAAACGGACCAATAGTTCGAGCTGATCATCTGGCTCTCTGTATATAGCCTACACCTCCTGCAAACGAATTAATCACAACATGGGAACAAATAGCATTTCAAGTGCTCAAAGTGGCTAAATGTGGCCTCAGTGTATTTATATTGTTTTATCTATGGCCACTCGGGGGCTGCATATAAGGTATTTCAAATCAAAATCTGTACCTGCTGCTCTCTGGATGTTAACATGGCAGGGGCTGTGTTTTGTTCATCTGTAGGCGGGTTGGAAGCGTGAGGCAGTGTCTGGTTGACCGGGGTGGGTGGAGCTTCAGAGCTGCACCTGACCATGTATAGGAAACACCTAGAGAACTGAGAGAGGCACACACAAAGAGAGGAGGTGGAAACAGCTAAATAAATATGATACAGGAACTAGTGATGGCAAGCTCGAGTCTTTTGACAGACTCGTTCATTCAAATCTCTTTCATTAAAATGAACTAATCTTTTTTTGAGTAATTTCGTTAATTTGAAACTAGGCTGGTTATTGTGGCGCTGCAGCCCTCTAGTGGGCAATTAAAAAACAGTGCTGTTCTCAAACACAGAAGGCTGCCTGGCTTGCTTTATTTGACAAAGTATAATGCACAAATTCACCTCTTGATTACTGTATATCATCATCATATAAACCCCCCTGGATCCACAACCAAATTCAAACCATGTAAAAACCAAAGAAATATGTTGTCAATATGTAATCACCACTACTCCGGCTAAATCCTTCCATTTTCACAATCTTTCCAGAGTATACAACCAGACCAGCTATATAAAGGCTTATGTATATAATTACTATCATTATCTCTAAAGTGCTCATTCATACAGTAGCCAAACGTCCCTCTCCATGAGTAAAATATTAATATCAGATTTGCAGTAAATATACTTAAGTAATAAGCTTGATACACTATATGAATAAACACACTCTTATTAAAATTCAGCCAATTTAATAATAATCTGGATCAAGCCACCAAGTTGTTAAAAAACTCCAGCACAGACAGACGAACAAAGAAATATTAACACATTATATAAATGCAGCAGTTTGGCAGTTCTGGACGCAGAATGGGCCACATCAGGTCCTGATTCTGCAGACAGAGAAACACACATGAGCGCATCGCTCTCAAACACTGCAGGTTGTTCACCAGTCAGAGCTGTGAAACAACAGCACGGCTCTGTTGGTAAATAAAAAGGAAAAGTTATGTTGCGTACTCTGGCTGACCGGATCAGCTGTTATCTGTTTACAGGGCTAACGCTAACGTTGCTACGTGGCTGTGTAATATTGACCGGGTCTGTTTGTTTTGGAGAGGAGACGACCTCTGAGGTAATTTGGCTCCAGGTAGAGTCAGGGCTCTGAAGTGGACCCACAACAACTCTCATCAGCTGTTAGCTGTAATGTTAAACACTAGCAAACTAAAGTTACTGCGGCTGTGTTAAAACTATAACTTAGCACAACATCACTGCGCTGTAATAATGTTATGCTTTATAAAATGTTACATGATTAACAAAATAGATATATAATATCAGTCCAGTGACTGTTACCTGAAAGCCGACCTGCCTCTCATCCTCCGGCGCTGGAAGTCACTGAGCCTGCCGAGTGAATGAAAGACTGAGGAGGACCCATGTGAGCGGTGAACGAGTCGTTCATTCCTGCTCCACAGTAGCTGTCACGTGACAAATGAACGACTCAGACCTAGAGACCCCCAGTTGAGAGTCGTGAACTAATCAGTTCTGTTTCCTGTGCTGACGGAGACCAGGTAGCTGCCGTGTGACGAGTGAACGTAAGAGTCCAAGATCCTTCACGCATGCGTGAAAATGAACGAATCACTCTCTGAGACAACCCCTTCCTCCCGAGTCATATACACGATTAGGTCTTATGAACGAAACGCTCTTTGAACGACACAAGACTAACAGGAACACGAGCACATTCAGAGCTGCACTGGCTTGTTAACTGTCTGAACAAGAACATTTCCATTCTGACATTATCACACTAGTTATGGGCTAATAACTAAGGTAGGGATCTCCGCACACATCTTCTGTAATTCAAATCGGTGTGGTACTGTGTCCAGTGATTGAAAATTATGTCGGAGGGATAAATACTGTATGTCACTTGGCTGCTAAGTGATTTGAACAAATCAAACGTCTGTAGAAAATAAAAAGAACATTTCATAAATTACACAACCATTGCAGAATGTTTATAATTTTTTGGGGATAGGAAGCTGTTTTCCCAAAACAATAAAACATTTATTAATGCTTTCAAGGAGGGCTTCACAACTTCTCAAGTCTGTTTTAAAGGTTCAGTGTGTAATATTAAGGAGGATCTATTGACAGAAATGCACAATGATATACATATGTTTTCAGTGGTGTATAAAGACCTTACATAATGAACAGTTATGTTTTTTATAACTTAGAATGAGCAATTTCTATCTACAAATGTCCACGGTTCTTCTTACATGGAAGTCACCATGTTGCGCTGCCATGTTTCTACAGTAGCCCAAAAGGACAAACTGCTCTACAAAGAAAGTTTTTTTCACTATGCTGAATACGTACGAAGAAGAAGATGTAGTAGTAGCTGTAGCTATCTGGTTTATTAGAAGTAAGAAGTGAAATTTGGATAAATAGAGGACCGCACTTTTATCACATTATTTAGCAGAAGAGCCAACAGAGCATGCTTGGAAAGAGATGGATGAGCAGTGACTGAGCCATTGGTTGCAATTTGCAACCCTCGCCACTAGATGCCACTAAATCTCACACACTGAACCTTTAAAACAATACTCACATGCATTGAAAGAGTTGCTGGTCGTTTTGTAATCATTTCTCCTGTCCATACTGGCTGTAAAGACGGGGGACAACAGCTACAGTCCTCGTTGGAGCAACTCTTTCAATGTAATATATGGGCATGTGACTATTAAAGGGGAACTCTGATGACTGTGTAAGAACTGCTGTTACCTGGTTGTTGAGCAGCACGTAGATAACAGGGTTGAGGACGGTGCTTGAGGGAGGGGATTAAACTGAAGGCAGGCGGTACAACTCCAGGCCGTCCAAAGGAGGAGAGCAATGCCACAACACCATATGGCATTCAACACAATAGGTAGCCTGTCACCATGGAGACCACCATTAAAAGGACACGGCCTTCCCTCCGCTCAGCTGAGGACCGGTTGAGCCTGGTGACCTGGACGCACACACAGACACACACAATGCTGGAGGAAGTTCTGAATGGTGGAGCTATAGGTGTCACCCATTACACAGAGGTCAAAGGTCATTCTGCATGCTCACCTGTCTCGCCACCGCTCGTACAGCCAGCAGGATCCTCCCGTAGCAGAAGAACATGAGCAGCAGCGGAAGGAGCAGGCAGAAGATGAACAAACAGCTGATGTAGGAGCAAGCTGTGAGTGAGCGTTGGTGCCACTGGACGGAGCAGGTGGTACCGGGGCCCTCCGGCCGTAGCTGCTCAATAACACACAACGTATGCTCTGATTGCATTTTCAACATTATTGAAGTGTTCAGATTCTACTCATTTTCAGGTTCATAATTGGATTTAGGGGTTGTACCAGAATATGTTTACATGGTTTAATAAAAACACCATATTTGTCATGCTGCACATTGCTGCAGCCCCTCTTTTCACCCATGCTTCGTCTTAGCTACCGAGTGAAGCATCTCACTTTAATTTGATCTTTGTTGGGAGTTGCACATGCGCAGCATCTAGTTAAGGACTACTAGACAATCAGAAACAGAGTAGGGCAGGTCCTTAGAAGCCGGTAACCATGGGCAAGTTCAGTGCCGACAAATTGTAGCAAACCGTTTTATTCAATGGAAACCGTGGTTCCTTGAACACCCTGTTGTGTACGCAAGCGCAATGTATTTTCCTGCCTTTTTAAAACGGTTGTGTTTACTAACTTATCGCAGCTGATTGGGTAACACCTGTGACAAGCCCACCAAACGGGAGAATACATACCTTGAAGCCCATTGCAGAATGTTGCACAGCGTTTCAAGTCGTTCAATCCCCAAACGTTGCAAAACGTTTTGAGATTGAACTTGCCCTAGGGCTTCGTTTCAGTTGTACATGTTCCCGAACCAGCTTCGCAAACTAAACTGGAGCTTCAGAGTTTCAGAGTGGTAAGTGGTCATTAATTTGTAACAAATTTATCTTTCATATTTTATTTTTTAATTGTGCACTGTCTTTACATCACAGTAACTTTATGCCGATTGACTAACATTTGACAGGGAGGGGGAGGGGAGGCAACAGGCGTTGTCTTGTCACCATGTGTGCTGCAGCTCAGTGTGTTTTTGAGGGCATACCTAACTAGCTGGTAGGCGAGCATTATGACGTGTGTTACAAAGTGACATAACAGATAGGTTACGGAAGTAAAGGCTGGACTACGATCATGCTGTTTTCAGGTAGTTCAGGAGCAGTGTTGTCTGTATTGTAGATGGTAACTCCCTTTGGGGTGGACTTAGGGCCTTTTCACTTTGCAAAACTATTACATGCACAAAAAAGATATATAACAGGGAAAAAGGGAAAAAGCATAATATGACCTTAACAGACTTAAAGTTCTGTGTCAGTATGGGTTTAATACCAAATGGTATATGGACTTATTATCGTTTATTCGTTATTCACATTTATGCTTTTGTGTTATGTAAGTCACAGGAAAGGAAGGCCCAGATCTCTCCAACATGCTGTTTTGTGTGTACACTGTAATATAACTAAGTTGGGTGGTTGTCAAAATCAGGCAATGGAAAATAACCAAAAATGAGTATTGGATGATTTTAATACCTAGAAGTTTGCCATTGATCCACAGCAGCTGATCTTGTGAAATGATTAATCAAATAAAGAATAATATAATAAATAAATAGCCCAACATTTTCCTGTGTATATGTTTTTAAAAAGTTAATTCTCATCACTGATTATCATTTGCATCATTGCCTGTAAAACAAATAACTTAATAACTCACAGTAACACATTGTGATGTGACTGTTTGTCATTTTGTAGTAATAATTATGAAATCACAGATGACCAAAACTTTGTGGCTCTATTTTCTTTTAAAGCACTCCCTTATTAAGTTTTTATAATGTGAATAAACTAGCAAAATGTTTTCCTCTCAGTTTTAGCATCATCAGACTGAATAAATAAATGAATGAATGATCTAGTGAGTGAGGTGGTGGATTAATATTTGAGGCAGCACAGACCTGCTCCAGCCCAGCAGCGGAGGCAGAGTCCAGACCAGCGAGTAGAGCCAGGAGGCGGCCACAACGAGCCTGGCCCTGCGGTACTGAGAGGAGTTCGGCTGGGTACTGTGGAGCACCGCAGAGTACCGCTCAAAGGACAGCAGAGAGAGAGACACCAGAGATACTGTACCTGACAGAAAGAGGCGTCAAAACAGAGTAAAGAACAGCAGTAAATGATCCAACAGAGTCAATCATCTCTCCAATTATTACAGTTTTTTGACGCAAGTCATAGAAAGTTTACTTGCACTCCATTTTAGAAGGAAATAATTTACTTTTTATTCATTTATCTGACAGCTGTAGTTACAATTTAGTTTGCAGTTTACATCTAAAACATGACCAACCTCTACAATCTCATGCATTGTTACAGATTAAACTACCTAACAGTTCCACCTCAATAGCTGTAACATGAAAATGCTGCTTACAAGTTAATCCAGTAATATAAAAACACAAAATTTACTTAATAAACTTTTAGTTCTGATACTGTTTCTGTAGCCTACTTGAGTAAAATATAAAATAGTAGTAAAATATTGTTGTATTGCTACTTTTACTAAGTAGGGTACTAAGTTAGGCTACTAAAGTAGCCTAAAGAATCTCAGTAGCCCCCATACATCTTCTACTACCAGAAGTCCTAGAATAACCTAAATGTGACACTGCCCAAATGTATAGGCTCTAAACACACTGCAGAGACCAAGATGAAAATGCAACAGATAATGCCATCTAATAGAAACTCAATTTAATCTGCATCTAAAGTATGATCTGCATCATTTATACAGATTCCTGCCTGAACTGAACTCAAATAGGGCCTGTAACGATTGTACAGAGTGCCAAGTCCCATAGGGTTATATTTTTTTATCCTGTGCGCACAAGAAAAAAAATCATCTTATGGGACTGCAGGGGCTCCATAGTTTTTATGTCATGCAGGAGTTTCCAATATTCCCAATCACTCACCGAAAAGCGCGTTTGAGAAACCGTACCACCGGCACCCGTAGGGGCCCGTCGGCCAAGCTTAGGGGCTTCCCGAAGATGCAGACGAGCATGTGGCTGGCGCTGATGTTGACGAGCAGCAGGTTCACCGGAGTCTGCAGCCCGGGGAAGCGCGAGAACACCAGGAGTACCAGGAAGTTACCGAGGAAGCCCAGGACCAGGATGAACCCGAGGACGACGGCCACCGTGATGTGACCAGCCCGACTCAGCGTGTCTGCGTCGGACACGGAGCTGTGACCGTTGCTGATGTTATGTTGCAGGACCACCATGCCCACCTGGTTATATACAGTCTATGGTTATCCCTCACTTAAAGCAGAGAAACAAGGTGCATCATCAAACAAAGACAACGTGAGGGGTTGAAATTTATGTTCTTTAAATTTACTTTGTGGGAGTTTTCACAGGCTGATACACACCAGATACAAATGCCCACAAGATGTTTAAAAAATCTGGAGGAGTGGGTGAAGAGAGAAAGTTATCTCTCCCACCATCATATCTTCTTTAAACATGCCTGCCCCAATTGTGTTCACATATCAGAAAGGCAATTTATCCATATGATTATTAATTTAAAAGTAACATTGTTTTAACAGAAGAACTAAAAAACAAACCTAAAAGACCTCAATGAAAAATGAAACACTTGCACAAAGATATAATACACAAAGGAAGAAGAACAGGAAGAAGTCTGACTTAATTGTAATCAATTAATTATGGTTTACACAATTAAAGGCAATAGAAATAGCCTATAGCTAGTAAGATTGCTGTTTTTTTGTTTATTTCTTTGCTTTACTGCCATGTGAAATACTATCGACCAGTGTAATACTCAGCAAAGAAACATACACATAACAATATAGTTCCAATAGAATGTAAAAAAAAAAAAAATTTCAATGAGACCGAGGACACTCTCCCACAGAGAAAGGAAGAAACAAACAATCCAACATGTATTTATTCTGTTCTGTTATTCTGCTTTATTTTAGACCAGACTGGGGACCTGAATAACTGAGCCAACATATCAATAATACAGGCTGTGGTGGACTCAGAGGACGAGCCAAGAACAGAACTCAGCCTGGTAGCATTAACTGATGAGATGCTGGAGACACGAGACCAATCACAACAATCACATCTACATGTAGAGCCGACCAGGGCTCCACAAGTAAGTTTTAATTTTGGAAACATGACTGAATTCTGCAAATGGTATTTAAATCGTCATAGTGACATGAAAAATTTTCCATTAATCGTAGTTCTGTCGGCTGCTCTTTACAGCAGAACTGTACCTGTTACTCTGTATAGGAAAACATGGGATACAATAACTGCCTTTAAATTAATTTGTCCAGAAAAACAACAATCCTGTAGATATACAGTACAGCTGCTGTTTATAAGAGCATGTTTACCAACCAATAGAGACAGAAATAGAATTACAGTGCTGTCTAGTGGTGAGTCACAACCATAATTGTGTATAGCTATGTGTATTTTAATCTAGGTCCACACGTAGAATAAAAACAATATTTTTTGATTGTTAGAAAAACAAAATTACAGGACTTTTGTGTCAGATGTGTGCACTACCTGAGTGTTTTCCAGTGTGGACACTATTCAAATAAACAGAGGTCTGTGTTTAGATAAATCTCTAAAACTTAACCTGAGATCTGAGTCAAATACATATTTATGCAAGCCCACTATACTCCATGGGCTGAAGAAATACTTAGTTTTTATTACTGGAGGGCAGTATTTCCAGCTGTATGAAATGAATCAGCTGCAGTATAACATACAAACTCTGCAATCACTTCAATTTACAGAAATATCTAAAACCTGCTATCACGACCAAGATATCACATTTAATTGTGTTTATTTACATTTATTTCAGGTGACATGACATGGGGTATGGGTAATAGGGAGAAACGGGTGAGAGGGTTAGGAAAGGAGGGAGGAAACCTGATGGGGGGGGGGGGGGGGGTAAGAGGGTAGGAAAGGTAGGGTTGTTGGGTAGTAGGGGTTAAATGGAGAAAGGGGTAGGGGGGATTAGGAAGGGAGAAAGAATGGGAGGTAAGAGGGTAGGAGAGGTAGGGTTGTTGGGGAGTAGGGGTGAAAGGGAGAAAGGGGTGAGGGGGTTAGGAAAGGAGGGAGGAAACCTGATGGGCAGATGGGGGGGAGGGGGGTAGGAAAGGTAGGGTTGTTGGGTAGTAGGGGTTAAACGGAGAAAGGGGTAGCGGGGGTGAGGAAGGGAGAAAGAATGGGAGGTAAGAGGGTAGGAGAGGTAGGGTTGTTGGGGAGTAGGGGTGAGAGGGTTAGGAAAGGAGGGGAGGAAAACTGGAAGGGGAGATGGGGGGTAAAATGATATTACTCCTCTTTCTTTTCTTTCTTCTCTCTTTCCTCATTTTATTTCTTTTCTCTCTTTAATCTCTCCTTTTCCTTTTTCTCATTTTCTTCCTTCTCTTTCTTCTCCTCCTCTTTTCTCTCCTTCTTTTCTTTCTTCTCCCTTTCCTGATTTTCTTTCTTTTCTCTCTTCAATCTCTCCTTTTCCCTTTTCTCATTTTCTTCCTTCTCTTTCTTCTCCTCCTCTTTTATCTCCTTCTTTTCTTTTTTCTCCCTTTCCTGATTTTCTTTCTTTTCTCTCTTCAATCTCTCCTTTTCCTTCTTCTCATTTTCTTTTTTCTCTTTCTTCTCTCTCTTTTCCTCCTCTTTTCTCTCCTTCTTCAGCCTCTTTTCTGTCTCCTTCCTTGCCCTCTTTTCGTTCTTTCTCATCTTGGCCTTCTCATCGTCAGTTTTGTCGGCGAGCTCCTGAAAAGACAAAAGTAGAAAGTCATTCAGTGTTTTCTCTTTCAAAGACTAAATATGAAACAAAGTGTTAGAATCCAACAAGTTATTATTTCAATTAAAGTGATCAGCTGATGTGCCGTACCTGGAGCTCAGTGTTTAGCTCGCTCAGGAGCTTAATGTCCTCCTCCATCGTGTGCTCTTTTTGGAGCCACTTCTCCTCCAGCTCTCTATTGTTTTTCTGCTCTCCACTGAGAAGATCCTGCAGAGCTTTGTTTTTACTCTTCAACTCTGCCTGGCTCTGGTGGAGCTCTGTGTTTATGGATTTTAATGTCACCATATTTCCCTCCACCATTGCCATAATTTCCCTTGTTACCGTGGAAATGATCTCATCTTCCTTTACCTTCATCTCCTTCTCCTCACAGTGCTCCTGCAGAGTGGTCAGCTCGGCATCTCCCTCCTCCTCATTCACAAGCCACTGGCTTTCCCACCCTGCAGTAAACTGATTTAGAGATTTCTCCACGCAAAGCTTCATTTTCATGACCTGGTCCCGCTCTTCTTTCCACAATGTTTTTATTTTCTCTGTCTCCATCTGTTGACAGCTCAGGTGTTTCTTAAGAGAGCAGACCTCTTCTTCTAATATTTCATTTTTTCTCTCCGTCTCCTTTCTTTGAATGTCACTTTGTTTAAGAATGGCTGTTGTGGACTGTAAAGCCCCATCTAGGAAATCTCTTTCATTTCTGATTGTATATAGAGTTGAGACTATACCGCCTGTTTTATCCAGAAGCTTCTGCCTTTCCTTTTCCCAGCTGATCTCTTTGTTGGCCATTTGCTCCTTCAGAGCAGCATTTTCTGAGGCCAGCTGCCTGTGTACTGATTTTGAGTCTTTAAGGGCTCGTCGCAGAGCGTGCAGGGCTCTGCCTGGAGAATGCTGTGAGCACTGAAAGACACAAATATACATGCAATACGTAAAAATATTGTCCCGTGTTAACTTTGAATACACAGAAAAGAGGGGATCTTTCACACATCTGAAGCTATCTGTAGTAAAAGAGCCCTACATCACTGGCAGCAAAATGAAATGTCCCTCATTCACAGCTTCAGCAAAAACAGTCAAATTCTCAATTTACTATTGAGTAATAGTATTTCAGTAAAATGTTGTTTTGTGTTTCACTTAAATATAGTCAAATAGAAATATCCTCAAGCCAACTGCACAATATCCAGAAATGTCTTGTAAACTACAGCGACACAAAGTCTGTCACCTTGTGTCCCCGACTCACAGTAAACACATTACAGCAATGATGTTGTAAAACTCTAAACACTGAAAACATTATGACATTGTACAGTTCACATGTCTCAATACAACACATTCATGTAAATTAGAAACTAAATATAAAGAAACTCAGTCAGCTCACTGGCCAGACCTCTGAATCGCTGCCCTCTCTTCAAAAATATTTATAAATACTATATTTGTTGAAGCTTTGGACAAAAGATGTAGTGTCTCCTGGTTCAGAAAATCTTACCTCGTCTCTTGAGTTTGTCTCCATGTTGGCTGAACACAGGGATCGGTGTTGGAGATATACTACTGTAGTGTTGCTTGTGGTTGTAGTGTACCTTGGGTGGTTGTGTACCACAGGTTTTGACGTCTTTGGTTCTAGTCGAGATCTAATTTCTGTAGTTTTGGTCTGTTGACACTGGGAGATGTTTCTCTGTTGGAGGTCAGGTTGCATCTAACTGGAGTTTGTCAGGAGGCTTTAATCCAACAGAACATTCTGTTGGACATTCTGCATGATGTCATAACGGGCTCCATATTGTGTCATCAAAGGTTTCAGAATGAGACGACAGTCATCAAAGGTTTCAGAGTGGGACGACATCACATGAATTCAGTGTTCTCCTTGTCACAAGGCAGGCCAGACCTTTTCACCTTGTACGATAAACTATACGCTTTCTACTTGAAAAATTAAAAGTACAAAAAGCACAAGTGCAGGTTCCACTAATATCGCCCAAGATGTCTTATATAATATAATCACTATAGGTCTTTTTTTAACATCATAATATAGAATATTATAATTTCTCTATACAGATGCAAAAAAACTTGAACACATCAATGCTCTTATTTTAATGGGATATATTCTGAACTCACACACACTTTGCAGTTTACATGAGTGCATCCAAAGGGAGTGTGTATTTGTAATAATAAGTCTGACCCTGTTTTCCACCTCAGATATCCAGATACTTAAACCATCAACATCACTCTCACGACATGCTGAACTGCAAAACACAATGCCATACTGGTCCTGGATCTGTCGCAGAGATATAAAGTAAGCCATATTAGCTACTGTTTGTGTTCTTCTTTTAATAAAATGTGTAATACTCCAAGAAGTAAATAACAAATAGAGTTAATTGCTGGCATTTAAAATAAAGTGTAATGAGTCCTGAAGCTGAACTATCGTCTACAACTTTCAACACAGTTTCAGTCTGTTTTCATTTGTAATTAATTATTATTTTAAGGATGAGTTTAAATGACCATAACTCAGCCCAGTCTGATTGTACAAAGCCCCAGTTGTCCAGGATTTAGGTATTGTTCAAGCCATAGCCACCATGATGCAACCATAATTGTGTATAGCTATGTGTATTTTAATGTAGGTCCACACGTAGAATAAAAACAATATTTTTTGATTGTTAGAAAAACAAAATTACAGGACTTTTGTGTCAGATGTGTGCACTACCTGAGTGTTTTCCAGTGTGGACACTATTCAAATAAACAGAGGTCTGTGTTTAGATAAATCTCTAAAACTTAACCCGAGATCTGAGTCAAATACATATTTATGCAAGCCCACTATACTCCATGGGCTGAAGAAATACTTAGTTTTTATTACTGGAGGGCAGTATTTCCAGCTGTATGAAATGAATCAGCTGCAGTATAACATACAAACTCTGCAATCACTTCAATTTACAGAAATATCTAAAACCTGCTATCACGACCAAGATATCACATTTAATTGTGTTTATTTACATTTATTTCAGGTGACATGACATGGGGTATGGGTAATAGGGAGAAACGGGTGAGAGGGTTAGGAAAGGAGGGAGGAAACCTGATGGGGGGGGGGGGGGGGTAAGAGGGTAGGAAAGGTAGGGTTGTTGGGTAGTAGGGGTTAAATGGAGAAAGGGGTAGGGGGGATTAGGAAGGGAGAAAGAATGGGAGGTAAGAGGGTAGGAGAGGTAGGGTTGTTGGGGAGTAGGGGTGAAAGGGAGAAAGGGGTGAGGGGGTTAGGAAAGGAGGGAGGAAACCTGATGGGCAGATGGGGGGAGGGGGGTAGGAAAGGTAGGGTTGTTGGGTAGTAGGGGTTAAACGGAGAAAGGGGTAGGGGGTGAGGAAGGGAGAAAGAATGGGAGGTAAGAGGT